CCCCAGCCAAAAACTGCAAACCCCCCCCCCCAAAAAAAAAAAACCAAACAAAAAAAAAACCCAAACTAACCTCTATTGGTAGGAAAGAGGAACTGGTTAAAATGGTTAAGATGCCAAATTTTATGTTTTTTAAATATATGTGTGTATGTATACATATATATAAACACAGACTAAATTCCAGTAGTAGATTCCTTTGGCCAGGGAACAAAGTATCCCTTACTTAATTTATACCAAAATCTTCAGTAAATTGATTCATATAGTTACCGTTTTCTTTTCTTTCCCATCTTGATTCAGTTCCTTAAATTCACTTACTTGAACTCTTGTCTGCAATATTTAGAGTATGCCTATGTCCCACCCATTTAAACTCCCCACTGATTTTTGAATACCCAGTATTTTGCCATTCTGATAAAGGTTTCTATGCTGGACTCTCCTCTCCCTCATTGATCCTTGGTGACTTCCGTGGAACTATTCTGCTTCTAACTTGGTATATCCCATGGGACAGAATATACTTGTCTGCAGTCAGAAACCGAGGATGGACATAGCAAAACACTCGGGGGAACTTGTACTAGGGAATCTATAAATATACCCAAAGACATGTCTTTTTATAGTTTTTACATTTTTACAACATTTATAATATTTCACTGTTCTAGCAGCATTGATTAGCAATGGCCCAGTCATCTCAAAAGAACGTTGCTGTGAGGGGGGCCATTTTGCTAGTGATGTCAAGAGGGTAACTGAGCATGCGTAGCAGATTGTAAAATTGGCATAATTTTATAAAATCATTGCTTTTTTTCTTTTTGCAATCATGAAGACATTTGAAGTCATCTGACCCAATCTGGTACCCAGTGCATTCACCTTTGCTTGTGTATCTTCATATTCCCTACAAAAAATTTAGGCAGCAGGCTTCTTGGAAAACTCCCATGAAAGATCTGCCCTCCCTCACTAGGGAAGCAATAAAGTATAATGGTTAGGGTTTGGAGATTTATAACCAGATGTGGGTCCAAATCCTAAGTCTGTCATTCGCTCCGTGACCTTGCCTGTTACCTCAGTTTCTTAAAGTCCTTTGTTTCCCCATCTGCAAAATGGGACTATTAAATATACTTACATCACATGGTCATTTCACCTGACAAAGTATGTATTGAGCCTTGGCAACCTAAGTGGTACTCAATAATATTGTCTAGATTAAGTGTAATATATTAATTATAACATCAAATAATTTTAATAGTATTTGTTTATTCAATTGATATTCATTGAGCACTATACTTTGTCAAGTTTTATGTTAGAATAACATGATAATCAAGACATTATTGATATCTGGATTATCAATTATCTGACTGTTTTAAAGATTGATTTAGCATTTATTAGTAGACCTAGTCGGTGACCAGTGCTGAGTGAGGTGCTGTGGCTGCAAAGGTGGGTAAGGTATGCTTCCTGTTGTCATGGGGCTTACCAGGCTAGAAGCAGGAGAAGGGTAATTCAGGAACAGAGAGACCATCTCAAGGGAATTTCCAAATAGGAAAGATCCCCTGGGCAGAGTTGAATTAATATCCAGCCAAGACTAGATGCAGTGGCTCACACCTATAATCCCAGGACTTTGGGAGGCTAAGATGGGAAGATCAATTGAGTTCAAGACCAGTCTGAGCCAGAGTGAGATCTCATCTTGGCAAAAAATAGAAAGATTAAACTAGGTTGGCATTGTGATGGGTGCCTGTAGTCCCATCATACTCAGGAGGCTGAGGCACGAGGATCTCTTGAGCCCAAGAGTTTGAGGTTGCTATGAGTTATGATGCCACGGCATTCTAGCATGGGGCAACAGAGTGAGACTCTGTCTCAAAAAAAATAGAAAAAATACCCAGGAATGGTGGTATAAGCCTGTAATCTCAGCTACTCAGGAGGCTGAGGTGAGAAGATTGCTTGTGTCTAGGAATTTGAGGTAGCAGTGAGCTATGATGAGGCCATTGCACTCCAGGTGGGAATGACAGAGCAAGACTTTGTCTCAAAAAAAAAAAAAAAAAAGGAAAGAAAGAAAATCATCACTCAGAAAGGAGTACACACAGAAGCTACCCTCAGAAGTCACTGACTTTATCCCAGTATCTATTTCTTTTCTCTATTCTCGTGCTTTAAAAAGCTAAATTTTGCCCCTTTGAGGTCTTATACAACAAAACTACTTCAACATTTTCTTATTTGGGGAGAGACAATATAACTTCAGTGTTAGAAGCATACACCCTGAACTGGATATCTGAGAACATGAGTGAGTTATTTGACCTTTCTGCCTCAGTTTCCTTGTTTGCAAAATGGGGCTCACAGTAGCATCTACTACAATAGAATTAACATGCAAATTATAAGAGGTCACTCTTATAATGAAAAACCTTATAAATAAATGAAAAACATTTCAAACAGTTCAGCCCCAAGGAGCTCCCACTAAAGGTTAGGAACCAGCACTCACTCTTGATAAACTTGTATTTTAGCTATCAAAATTAAGTAAAATCCTGCTATAATCTATTAATGTTTTAACTTTTTTCCCACAGTTAAGTTTAACTTAAATGTCTTCATGTTAGGCTTTTCTGTCTTTTATTTGATTCTTTGAAATGCTTTATTTCAAGTTATCTACTTTAAAAAAACAAGTGGAAGGAACACTTAGAGAGGAAACTATCCTAAGGGAATTGAAGTCTAGAAATAACTATTCTGAGAACACAGGGCCCTCTTGTACCATCACAAACAATGAATAGAAGTCCCAGTTTACTTGTGTTAACAGTGCTCAATTGATAGTCAGAGAAGGGGGCCATCCAGAAAGAAAAAATCATAACATTTTGCAGTTATCATTGACTTGGAAAAATATTCATTTTGGTGGAGCGCCACATTGGAGAAATCAGCTCCGACCCCAGCTGGGGCACAGACCAGGCAGGCTTACCTTCTCTTTATTTGCCCTAATTGGACTGTAGCCTTTCATCTGCCCACTACACAACTTGTCTTCTGGAAGTGAAATCTTGTCCATCAGGTTAACGTGCTGGGTAAAAACCCAGAAAAGGATGCAAAATATCTGTGTTAATAGAAGATATCTTTTCTTCTTTCTGGGCTCCAAAGGTGTTACTTTGACCTAATTGTGATGCTAATTGTATTTATAGGTGAATTCTCTAACTCAGAAGAGCCACAGAATCCTTTCTTTAAAATGCATAATTAGGAGATTGGCTTTTAATTAGGAAGCCATACTATTCTAACCAACCTTCCTTTTAGTAGCATCAACAAATAAATTAGTACAACAGACATATGCCCCCGTTAGGACACAGTGGCACTGCTGCCATTTGGGATGGAGAAGTGTTTATTGTGAGGAACTGCCCTGTGCATTAGAACCTTTAGCAGTAACCCCGGGCTTCCATCCATTAGAGGCCAGCAGTACCTACCCCCAGGTGTGACAACCAAAGATGTCTTCAGATAAACTGGATGTGATCTCCACTAGAAACCCTGATTTGGGATAATGAGTGTTTGTTCACCTCGGCCCTGCAGATTCCCCGATTTCCGTACTTTGATTTGTATTGCAATCATGGTAAAATTTGTATTTTGCAATTTGCATTGCAATCGGGGAAAATTGGTCTAATGGTTGACTGTGTATAGGCAGTCCCTGAATTACAAACATCCAACCAACATATGGCTTGCACTTAAGTAACAGATAAATGTACCTGTTTCTATTTACACACAAGTTTAACTTAACAGTGAATCTATGGAACCCATCTCATTTGTAACCCAGGATCTGCCCGTACTTAGTAATTAACATAGCCTGTAGTTTTCTTGATCAAACTGAAAATAGCTTGACTGTCCAGACTGTCCTGTGTACTTTCTAGTAGTTATAATACCGTATTATTATAGTAGCTACCACTTCGTGATAACTGAAGTAGAGGCACTGTGTCTCACTTGCTATATTTCCATCAATTCTGATAAACCCCTGTGATATGAATGACAGGGACGTTAAGCCACAGAGAGTTTAGAAAACTTGCCTAATATCACACAACAGGTCAGGAACAGAGGCAGGATTGGTATTTGGGTCTTTGACTTCTACATACAGGCTGTTCACCTCTGTATTATTGTCATAATTTGTATATTGCAGTGTCCACATCTGATGAGTGAGCACTGAGTAGTTCTTTCCGTGGTCTACTTGGAGATGAGTTAAAAATTGTAGTCTCTAACTAGTTGATATCAGCATGTTGACACTGCTGCCCAGTATTCCTATTGAAATGTGACATGGGCCTCCTACCAAAATCCTCGATTCAGCCGTGGTAACAACCGTGGCTTTTCCTTATGTAAAAATCAAATAAAAATATACGCAACGTGCCATTCTAGTTCTATGTCTGGCCCAAAGTAGATGATCCCCAGCAAAATATTCCTGCATGTCCAAAGCAGCCCACTCCTAATCAGCAAATATTGGGAAAGCAGCCTATGCAGGAAATGTTTAAAGCAGATAGAGCACTTTAAGCTACTTCGTGGACTGGAAGTAACAATGTCTGACCTCCACAGCGTGGCTGATGAAGCACCTTCTCACAGAGAGCTTTGTTCCTCTCCCTCACTGGTCAGCACTGCCCTGCTGGCAGTCCACACTCATCACGGCCATGCTCTCTGTGGTTTCTCACCTCTCCCAATCCATTTCTCTCTAGGCTCCCCTCCAACCCCCATCTACTCTCTTTCCCATACTGTATGTCCTTTTTTTTCTCTTTATAATAGTTAGAAAATCTGTTCTTGCTCCAGAACAGCTCAAAAGTAGATGTCTGTTCAATGTAGGTCCATTGATGACTTAGAGATTTATACCACTTGCTGTTATCTATCCCTAACAAATAATCATAATAACACAATTGCATGTTTTATATACAGTTTGCATATGGAAACAATATATAAGAGGGTGCCTTAAAAAGTGTGCATACTTTAAGAAAGAAAAAACTGTATTAAAATTGTAATACTCAAAATATACTGATACCAAAAGATGAAACCAAGTCATATTGAGCACCTCTTGTAATTCAGATGTCAAACATGACTTGAGTATTACAGATTTAATACAGTTTTTTCCCTTTCTTAAAACATGTATACATTTTTTGGTACCATCTGTATATATGATTTGCATTTCTAGAACTATGGGAATAATTTTGTTTTGTAAGTTTATTACTTTGAATTTTCAAGTCACATTCTTGGTTTATTTGAACCCAACAGTTCTCCTCAAATCTGAAACTCTAGGAAGACAGAGAATAAAGCCTTGGCATCCAGAAAGGTTACCAGAATCACAGCAGCTTTATAAGTTTTGTCTCTCTGGCCCTTTGCAGTGCTGTGTTGAAACACGTGAGCGCCTTTCACTTTGTATTAAATTGGACAAGAATAAAACTGAATACACACAGAGCAAGGTTGACCCAGAGGAGGTGACCTATTTCAAATAAAGCCACTTAGTGAAATGACAGCTAATAATCAAAGTCACTTTTTATCAGTTCCTTAGTTAAAAGGCTTTGAGATGTGGTTCAAGGGCATTTTCTATGACCATGATGTCTACTTTATTTTTTTGCATGTGTGTTGGGGCTGTGTGTTTTATGCACGCACTATAAATACTGCCTTGACACAAGAGCAGAGCAGGGAGTGGGGGCTGCAGGTGCGTCTGTCTCTCCTGCCTCACCCCCCATTCTCATAGAGCCCATCTCAGATTTGCCTGTGGGAGGCATCTTATCCACATACACCCTCACCCCGTCTCTTTAGCTAGGGCTTCAGTTCATAGAATATACATTTAGAAGCCATCCTAGGAATAGATGCAAATGGTTACCAGTGAGGGGGAGCACATTTGGTTCTATTTTTATTTCATCTGCATGTTCATTTGAGAGGATGAAATGTACTCTGTTGAGGACAGTCTTTACTCAGTACTGCTTGATCTCTAAAAACTGTAGTCACATTTCAGGGCTTTCTGAATATACTTTTGTCTGGCGTAGAGCAAAATTCAGAGTGAAATCAAGAAAGAGAAGGGCTTAGTGACATAACGTCTTACCCTGTGTTCATGGTTATAGAAAGTGGGAAATGGTTAGATGGTTGTAGTGGAAGTTGTAAGGTCACTTAACTATTTCTTCATAGTTAATTATTTCAAACTTCATTTCATGGCAGGGGAAGAAGAATCACCTTGGACCTCTTCTATAAAAATGGGCACATAAAACTCCTGCAACTAACCCGTTATAAGGAAATATACAATAGAACAGAACGACATTGTGAAATGTTGGGGCAGGGAATGAATTCAGTACTTTAAAACATCCAATTCACAACTAGAGGAAAAACTCTTCAGCAAGCTTGGGAAGCCCGATTTCTGTTATTCTTGTAAAGTCTTTGGGCTCCCTCTTGTGGCTTTATGGAAAATTTCAATTACAAGGAAACTAGCCTTTTCTCTTTAGTAATAAGGAAGTAATTTCTTTTCCAATAAGAAAACATGTTTTATTGCTTTTCTTTATAAAAGAAAGAGAGAGAAGAAGGGAATTAGGACTAAAGGGAAGGAAGAACATTTGACTTTGATGGAAAAAACTAATTTAGTGAAAAAGGCCATCTCACATAGAATCCTATTTTATGATAATAGTCAACATTTACTAAACATCTACTATATCCTACTAGTTGTACCAGATAATACATTTGACAGATTATCCATTGTCTCTGTGCTCAAAACATAACCCCATTAGAAGGTAGTATAACCATATCGTGGTGTGAGACTATCCTTTCCTCTCTTAAAGGGAACCAGCTAAGCAAACCATACAGCTCTGATTATCTGTGAGTGAATGAAAAAAAAACTATCTCATTTTTTAAATTAAAAAACATTTTTTTATCAAATCATTTTTCTTAAATGAAACCTGTAATAGGATGTGTGTTTTATCTGAAACACTTTCTAATTGTTCAATAATTCTGTTGTTGTTTCTCTCTCTTTAGTTACCTGTCTCGGGAAACTTGATTGACCTTTATGGAAACCAAGGCTTGCCACCCCCAGGCCTCACCATCAGCAACTCCTGTCCAGCCAACCTTCCCAACATAAAAAGGGAGCTCACAGGTAAAAACCCAGCAAATGTTCCTCCTACTGTAGAATTTCTGTCCACTTCTGAATTAGACAAAGTCCATCACTATAGATAGAGTTCAGATTATATCCAACTCATGGACTTTTTAAGGTCTCTGCAACAGTAAAAACATCGTGCAATATATTTCAAGATGCAGGATTTATACTTGCAAATCCTGATTTCCAGTGTCACTTGAGAGATCAGCAATCAGGGCCACCATACTTCATGTCACCAATCACTGTGTCTATGGCTTCTGGCTCCTTTGGGTTGGGGGTAGCAGGTAACATGTTCAGCTGTGTCTTCCCCACCCCCCAACCTGACGTTTATGTTTCTTGGCCAATTCTTGAGAGGCATTTGGGTTGGAGAAACCTGGTCTGAATTTCCCTTTGACACAAATTTGAGCCTGCAGCTGAGATGTAAGAATGTTATCTCCTACATCTTCCAATTCCTCCTGTTATTTTTGCTATATCTTCTTTGTTACACAGAAGAAAAAATAAATTATAAAATGGAGGCATGGGTATTGTTTGTTCTTGAGGCAAGTATGAAATTACCTGTTTCACCACTTTGTTTAATGCTTTAGGGGAGGAATTTGTCAGAAACTATATTGAAACTGGCATCCCACTGTGGTGAATTTTTTGGCCCTCACCTCCCTCCCCCCCCATTTTATTGTTTGGTTCTCAAATTCTGCAAGATTAGGATGAACAGACTGAGAATACAGAATATGCATTTGGTAGAGGAAATTCCTGTTCTATTCAAGGATGCCTTTTAAAAAAATTATATCAGAAAGTTGTAGCAGAAAAAAGACATTTAATAAAAAGTCATTGATTTAGGTTAAAAAAGGTAATTGGTTAATAAGTAAAAACCATCCCAAACCAAAAAAGGAGTAGTTAACCTGCCGGAGGGAAAAGTACTGTGAGACAATGATAACAAGACGCTTAAGAGTCGCTGAAGTAGAGGGTGTGTGAGGCACAGCAGCCTCATGTTCTGTGTAAAAAAGAAAAAATAGAAAATGATTTAGATTGACCATCACAATCGAAAGAATTCAGCTTCTGAGTTATATATGTACACACACAGTCATACATATGCATATATACATACATATGTGCATATATATACATATGTAACACTCATATAATAAATATATGTGTGTATATATATGCTTCAGCGGCTATAAGTTATGCTAAAGAGATGTCTATTTTGAGATAAAATTCTAAGTTATGATAGTATAATGCTGAAGATACCGCTTTAGAAAAGAAAATAGAGCTTTCTGAATCCCAGGATTGATCAAACAACATGTTTACTTTTTTAACAATTTTATTTTGTTTTTCTTTCTATAAGGCCAAAAGTAATCTCTTACCACAGAGAGCTCACAGGAATTGTTATGCAAATAGAATTTTCCAAATGGGGGTGTCACCAAATGCCTCTGTATGCTATTCCTATTTTTGTTTTTATAGAACTCAAACTGGAAAATAGTTGCTCATAAGAGCCATTAAGTGATTTTGGTATAGTCGGTTTTGACTGAGTCTGGTCCCAGTTTCTGAAAAAATGAGTTCATTTCTATGAACTGGTCAGAGGACGGAGAGACCCAGTTTGGGAGCTTTTCTGTGTGATTCTCATGTCACTGTGTCACAAAGGCATTTCAGAAAGACTGAAAAGTTCTATGGCCTACAAAGAAAAATTGACTCCTGATAATAGAGTATCAACAGCAAATTTCCACAGTTTTCTTCTTCTTTATTTTATTCTTCTTGGTACCTGTGTATGTTTACATTGTTTCTGGGAAGCTGAGTTTTTGCATAGTATAAATAAAGGGTGCCAAAAAAAATGAGTGCATATCGTTTTTTAAGATTTAAAAACGTTTTTTATCCTTTCCTTAAGAAAGGAAAAAAACTGTATAAAAACTGTAATAGTCCAGGGACATTTGACTTCTGCATTTACAAGAGATACTCTGTTATACAAGATTAACAAACATTATCTGTGTATGTTGAGTATTAGAATTTTAATGCAGTTTTTTTCCTTTCTTGAAATGTGTATACATGGTTTTGACACCCTCTGTATTTGTAATATAGTGCTTTTTAAAGCTCAAGCTTTTAACAAGACATCATTTAAAAAGCCATGTTTTTACTCAGAGTCAGATCAGACCAGCTTCCCTAAGGTTAGGGCATGAGAAGTTTTGCAGTTGATGTGGTTGTGCCCCTCGAACAGTTCCAGTTTCTAATGACTTCATTCATGTGCACAGCGTGTATTTTTCCCACAGAGTCTGAAGCAAGAGCATTGGCTAAAGAGAGGCAAAAAAAAGACAATCACAACTTGAGTAAGTTGATTTTATTTACGCTCATGACATCGGGTGTTGGATTGAATGTTCTCCCATACATCTAAAAGGTTTCCAGAAATTTTGCAGGAAAATCGATTTCTGTAGCTATTAAATGTACTTTATGGGAAAAATTGTCTTTCAGAGAAACCAGGGTGTATGTTTTTCTCCACTTTTATTGCAAATCAAATGGAACTTCGTGTATATATTTGTTTTCAGTTTCTGAAGTTTTATTTTTCTTGTTTGTAGTAGTGGGGGGGTTGATTTTGTTTTTTTTAGTGAGAGGGAGACTCCCCAACTACCCAATTATAAATATCACTCACACTGGAACTTATTAACAGAAGGGGATCATGGGATCACCTTCTCCAGTGAGATTTGAAAGAAAAAAAAGCGAGAAAGAAACAGTTCTGAAGGGGACTAGTGGATGAGGTAGCCTCCTAAATTTCTGACTTTACCTGAGACTTAAGGAAGAAAATCTTATAACATTTAAAATATTTTATTTTTATTTAATTTATTCTTGATCAAACCTTTAAGCTTTCTCCTATGAAAACGTAAGTTTTTGTGTAATATAAGCAAGGTAAGAGTGGCTACGAGGCAAAATACAATAACAATAAAAGGATTAGGTTTGGAAATAGTTTGTGTGTGAATTTCTTAACCTCATATCCTCTTTTTTCCTGAACTGACTTTTGAGAATATAAGTTATAACATAGATGCTTTCTCTTTATAAAAATGATAAAGGCCAAAGTTCTCTTTTAATTCCCAGATATATGCACGTTTGTTTTAATTTGGTGTTTCTCTTCCTCACCTTCTTCTATGTATTTAAGAATATACACACAGAAAATAAATAAGTAGCAGGGTTTTGTGTATGTTTTAACACAAACTGTATCATGTTGCCCACATTCCCTTGGCTTGCTTTTTACTGAACAGTATGTTCTGAAGATCTTTTACTGTTAGAAATATAGATATATTTTCTTTTTAGAAAATGATTGTATAGTATTCCATGGTCTGAGGGTATGATTTTAGTAATTTTCCTGCTTCTCAGTGTTCACACTGCTCCTAGTTTTTTTTCTGTTATAAACAATGCCGCCCTGACCATTCTTATACCTGCTATTTGTATAGAGGTTGTTTGTCTAGGTTCGTGTTCCTGAGAAATGGATTTCCCTGAGGCCTGGCTGGTGTAGGTTTTTAATTTAGGAGCTACTGACCTCCCCAGTTTTCACATCTGGTATGACAGCTGACATCTTTTCCTTATGCTTTAACCAAAAGATAGGGACTGATTTTGGCCTTCTCCAGCTTCCAAGAGATATTCCAAAATCTCTAAGATATTTCTTCTTTTAAAACACCTTAGAAATAAGATAATTTCTTGTTATCTAAAACTTTACTTAATCGAGATGTGGAAAACTAAGTCGGATCTTGTCAAAAACAATAGACACCTTCAATGAGGCAACTGAACTTCCAAGTTCAGGGTCGTCAGTAAAATGCAAACCTGATTATGTCAAACTCAGAGGGCTCTAAAACAATCTAAAAGTCTCCTCTAACCGTCGGAAATGAATATTCAAGATGAGGTTGTCCCTTGACCTAGCTCTTCCTCTTCTATGAATTTGTTTTGGAGGAATATTTGCCAAAATGTGTTACATGTTCATTTTCCTGCTTGTTCTTTCCACTGTTTGTTGAGCTCCCTTTTTGTATGAGGCATTTCTTAAAATAATGTGAACCAGACAATGACCTTCCCACCCGTAGGAGCTTGCCTGTGACCCAGGGATTGCCTACCATTTATTACTGAGTGAGAAGCAAGCAGTGGATTAATATGTAAAATACCCCCATTGTGTAAGAAGAGCCCACTGGACGGGAGTGTGCTCCTGTGTGTGTGTGTTCTATGCATGTATGTGTGCGTGGGACAGGATCTTCCATCACCCGCCATCAAGGACAGTTTCCTCAGGAATGCAGATGTTGGGTGATGTAAAGAATTGGCTTTGGCTTGGCGCCCATAGCACAGTGGTTATAGCACTAGCCACATATACTGAGGCTGGCAGGTTCGAACCTGGCCAAGGCCAGCTAAGCAAAAATGACAACTGCAACAACAAAAAAAAAGCCAGGCGTTGGGGTAGGCTCCTATAGTCCCAGCTAATTGGGAGGCTGAGGCAAGACAATTGCTTAAGCCCAGGAGTTGGAGGTTGCTGTGAGCTGTGATGCCATGGCACTCTACCCAGGGGGAGAGCTTAAGACTCTGCCTCAAAAAAAAAAAAAAAAAAAGAATTGGCTTTTATCTTTATACATGTTTATGTTTTTTGAAAATTTTTACCAGCACATACCACCTTAATAATAAATAACTGGGGAGGGAAGTCACTGAACTAAAAATAAAATGTACATCTCAATGTTGACAGGGAAGGATGTCAACAAGATGTGTGGAGCGGAAAAGGAGAGAGGTGGAATATGGATGGTTAGTGTTACTTTGCTTGGAATGTATCATTCTTTATTCACCCTGTATATGTTGAGGGCCTACAATGCGGTAGGCACACAGGGGTCTTTGGATGCAACTGAATAAACACAATAAATAAATGAATGAAATATGTGACTATTAGGCTGCAGAACGTTCTCGGAGGAGAAAAAGGGCAGGCGAGGGGATTTTGTGTCAGCGTGGACACAGGAGTTGGTAGAGCCATTTCAAAGAAGATGATTAGGGAAGTCGCTTAGGTAAACTTGTCACTACCTGAGGGAGATGAGGGCCGGTCATTCAGGCATCCACAGAGAGAGAGTTCCAGAGCAGCTGTGCATCCGCAGTTGGGGAGTGTGTCTGGCACGGTTGAGGAATAGCAAGGAGCTGATGGGGCTAAAGAAGAGGAACTGGGTGTATCACAAGGGGAGGTGGGTCAGAGTGGGAGAGTAGAAAATGAGGCGGTCAGGGCAGGAGCTCACCAGAGCCTCGAAGGATGCCTTGGGGAGGCTTTTCTCCAGAACAGCGGTTTTCTCACCCTTCCTAATGCTGCAGTGGATTTTCATTGTTAAAAAGGAGTTGAGAACCACTGCTCTAGAAGTACTAGGTGATAGGAAAGTTTTAAGCCAAGCGTTGACATGCTCTGATTTACATTTTAATTGATTTAACAGAATCGCTCTAGATGCTGGAGATTAGACCAAAGTGGGGAGGAACCAGGCAGCGGGGGGAGGTAGAGATGCCCGTTAGGAGGGTTGAATACGCCGAGCAAAGGATGGCAGTGGCATCTTGGGTAGCAGCGGAAGTTGGATGTGGACAAATTCTGGAAATATTATGAAGGCAGAGCCAACCGATTTGATAATGGATCCGATGTGGGATGTGAGAGGGAGAGAGGCTCCGTATTGAATGGAAGGCCGTAGAACAGCTAGAGGGATGTAGTTACCATGGAGGGCGATGAGGCGCTGTTAAGCCTGGAGATGGAGCAGGTTAGAGTGGGAACAATCAGGAGCTCACATTGGGACGACCTCCGTGTGCAGACGGTGAACAGTCAGGTGTATGAATCTGGAGTTCCAGGGGGATGTCTGGGCTGGAAGTGGAAGTTGAGAGTCATCAGTATATCTGTGGTTTTCAACCCGTGAGACTAAACGAGGTCACCAGGAAGCAAATGTTGTCAAGAAGAGATCCATCACGTGTGTGTTTATTTTCAAGGCATAAAAATAGTCATAAAGGATATATAAGAAACTTAGTAGTGGATTACATAGGAGAATTTTATTTCACTTGATGTATTTCAGTATTGTTTGAATTTTTATGATTATTGTGTGCCTGGAAAAAAATAGAAAAAAGCCCTGCCTCAGAGTCTTGGAAGTGCTTAGTGGTTCAGTAATCCCCAAATTCATTCTTCAGAACCATCGACCATCACTTATGGTTTCTGTTTTATAGAGGTCTAATGATAAGACTTAGTATTATATAAAACCGATTTAATCATTGGAATAATTTCTCAGCCAGGATATACTGCAATACATGTTGAAAGTAGTGAACAAAATTATTTAATTAAGTGTACAGAATGTTATGGGTCAAATATAAGTATATATTGTGGTATGTAAAGTAAAAAATATATATATATATATTGGCAAGGCATAGTAGTGGCTCATGCTTGTAATCCCAGCACTAGGAAGCTGAGGAGGGAGGATCACTTGAGGATAGGAGTTTGAGACCAGCCAGGCAACACAGGGAGAAGCCATCTCTACAAAAAACTAAAAAAACTTAGCAGGGCACAGTGGGACACATGTAGTCCTAGCTACTCCGTAGGTGAGATAGGAAGACTACTTGAGCCCAGGCGTTGAAGGCTATAGTGTGCTGTGATCTCATGACTGCAGTCCAGCCAAGGTGATAGAGAAAGACTCTTGTCCTTAAGGGGGGGAAAAAAAGGTGAAATATTAACAACTTTAATCCAAGTTTTGAAACTTTACATTGTTTGGCATGTAGTTGCTATGCTACATAAGTTAGAAACCTTTATTATCTCCTATGCTGTACTATGTCATCCTCCCTGAAGAAGATGATGATTTAGTTGAATTTACAACTGGATTTATAAAATGGGAATGCTGTGAAGGTGCATAGCATAGGTGAAATGCTAAACTTAGGTGCTAGGGCTGTGCCGTCCGGTCGGCAGCCCCTCACTCCACCTGCCCCTGCTGAGCCCTTGAGATAGAGTGGGTCCAAACTGCCATGTGCTATAAGTGTCAAATACGTGCTGGGTTCTGAAAACTTAGTATGAAGAAAAGAATGTTAATCTGATTGTCTAACTTTCTGTATTGATTTCTTGTTGAAATTATACTATTTTGGATATCATGAATTTAACAAACTGTTGAAGTTAATTTCACTCTTTTTTACTTTTTTAATATGGCTACTAGGAAATTTAAACTTACATGCATAAACTTGCATTCTATTTTTATTGGGTAGCACTGAACTAAAGCAAGGGCTTTTGTGTGGCCCATAAGTGAAGAAAGTGTTTTTATATTTCTTCAATGGTTAAAAAAAAGTTAGAATAATATTTTGTAACAAGTGAAAATTATATGGAATGTACTTTTCAGCATTACAAGTATGCTCCGATGCTTTCGTTTGCAGACTTACTGTGCAAAAAATTGTACTCAGTTGTTATTTTTAAAATTTTTTTCACTAAAAATGTGTAGAAATTTGATTTCTCTCCGTTTATGCAAGTACCTATATAATATCCTCAATTTTACTACTTGGGCAGCAGAACCAAGTACTCATCATCCAGCCCTTTGGAAAGTTCGCTGACTCCTGCTCTATAGGGTCTGCTATAAGTTTGGGCTGTTTACCACTTCTTGCTGGATGTCCTTGCCGAGTCCCTCCTATCGGTATCTCCAAGGCAGTTTTGTCATTTTTAACTGAGGCCAGTAACTCTGATTTCAGTGTTAGAAGAGCAAATGAGAAATTGTATTTCTAAGGGATTTGTCAATGATAAAGTTCTTTACAAAAGTAGCTCATTTTTTAATTGCTTTAACCTCAGTCTTAAAAACATGGGAAAAACAGGGGAAAAGGTAGGCTCAAGTGTCTGTGGTCCTGACCTGGTGAATTAACATGCATATGCCTTTAATGAGATACGCTGAGTGCATTGTGGCACTGTTACTAATAGCCTTTCCCTGTGCTCTTTTCTTGAAGTCGAACGAAGAAGAAGATTTAACATAAATGACCGCATTAAAGAACTAGGTACTTTGATTCCCAAGTCAAATGACCCGTGAGTACAATTGCATATTAATCTGCATCATATATTTTTCGTACCTTAATGTTTTTTCCTATGTTGCAAAAAATGCAGTTATAAAAACGAGAGTAAAGAAGTCTCCCCCTCCCTTTGGTTTCATTCCTAAGTGCTTCTGAAACCTTGCTTTTGGTTAGTCTCATTAAACTAAAATTTCAACAGAAGTGCAGTGAATTGCATAAAAGGATTGTTGGACATGAGATGGTTCGTTTTGAGTGTGAGGAGATGCCTTTCTGAAATCTCTGCGATCTTGGCGAACAAATACGGAGCTCCTAAAACCAATTTCTTTTAGCAGTTCATGCAGTACAGAGATTCCAGCAGCTCTTAAAGCGAGATTTGTTGACTGTTTGCTCTTCAGCTTGCTTAGGGTATCTCATAGGCACTGATGAACAACTGTGGGAGACTTTAATTGACCTTTTTGTCTGTTTAGTGATATCCAACAGACAAAAAGGTCAATTGTTCTAATGAAAACTTGCATGCTCTTTGTATGTTTTACCAACCTAGGTGGGAAGAAGTAATGCTTAATCCTCTTAGTAAGTACAGGTCAGCTAATCTGAATTTTGCTTTTGGTCTCTGTCTGTCCGCCCTTTCAGGGATAACAGCTGTAAAGATAATTTTCTCAAGTCTTTTCTGCCAGCCTTACAGTTGCCTGTAACATCAGTGAAATAGGACAACAAACACACGAATTTATCCATTAGAAATTGGCCCATTTGAAGAAAAGGGCTAGACAGTGTATACATTTTATTGGCCCCACAGGCATTCTATAAAATTAGCCTTTGAACATGACCTTTTAGCTACCTAATAAAATGTAAAGATGAAATCAAGCATTATTCATGCAAGGCTTATTAGATTTGCTATTCACATTATTGTTGGAGAATTTGTAACAAAATAAAATAAAACCATTACCTATCGTGAGGTGGTTTTGATGAATGTGCAAGCACAATTCCATCTTCCACATTTTGCTTTCCTGGGTTTCAAGGAAAGGCATTTTCAAACCCGAAACATTCAAATTCTCAGTTCTGCAGCACAAATTTCTCCTACTAAAGGGCTGTGACCTTCATTTCCTATAGTCAGTCTTGCATGATAGTTGAAATTGAATTCCCATTTTCCTGTTCTTTATCAGCTTTCACTTTTTAGCATATTCTTTTAAACTGTAGCATGTGAATCTCTTTAGTAACATATTATGAAATTATGGGACTGCAGTGAAAGCCTCTATTTGCATATCTCCTCTCTCCATTGTACTAGAATACTTGTGTGTTTATAATCTGAACCGATAATGATCTTTAATTGTAGGCATTGTTTCAAGATAAAACAGACTATAAGCTATATGCTGGTTTTCCCACACCAGGTTTCTAGAATGTACCTCGGGGCTGCTATAGAGATACACAGTCTCACTGATAAGTTCACTGCCCCATATCCTTTCTTCCCCTAGAGCAAGTGTGCTTTTGTTGATTTTATATATTAGAGATCTATGTATACTTCTATATGTGAAAAGAGTCCCTCTCATTACCAAGAAAAAAAAGGAGGTGGAAAATGCCTTCTTTAAGCCCAGAAGCATAATTGGGTCTCACAAGGAAGCAAAATGCAAAATAAATGGTTGAAGTAATTGTTTCTTAAAAACTGGGTGGCTGCTTGAATGTTTGGTTACTGGTTTCTCACCTTGCTGGCCTGCGTAAGGCATCATTCATCATAATTGCATCTCTCTTTTGCAGCTGCTAATGTTACTGTTACTTTGATTTTAGCTCTCAACATGAAGTCCCTGGGCTTACCCTGGGATCTCAGGGCACTTCCCTGGGTTGCCGTCTTTGGTGCTCAGACTCCGGGGATCAACCCCAGGGAATTCTCTGGGGCCGGCATCTGTCCCTCTCCTGGGAGAACTTCTGTTATTGTTCTTCACCTCACTCAGATGAGGATCAATTACCTAGCGGCTTGTTTTAATGGCCCTCCCTTCTCAGCTCCACCTGGTACTTCCGATCTGCTTTTAGCAGCTGCAGGTGTTGGGGTAGATGGTTCTCTGTAGGTCAAATTGTTTTTGTTTTCATCATCATAATTGTCATCATTATGATGAATATTGTCTATAAAAAGGTTCAGATTAGTTTAAAGCAATATTATAGTTCATTCTTTATTATTTTCTGGAGTGCTTTAAATTTTTTAGCTACATTTTAATGGTGTCCTTAATTTTCTCATATATGAGTGTATTAGAGCCAGACTGATTAAGAGCTGAGAAGCACCAAGTGCAGGTTGCCTGGGTTAGAATTCCAGAACAGTTCCCTACTGGGTGTCTGACCTGGGGTCGGATGTTTGCATTCTTGTGCCTCACTGTTCTCATCTGTTAAAAAAAAAGGATATCAGAATTATCCTATCTGGTCTAGTTGTTTTGAGGACTCAGTCACACAAGAGGAACTGTGGTGCAGAGCAGTGGTTCTCAACCTTCCTGATGCTTGCAGCCCTTTAATACAGTTCCTGTGGGTGGCGACCCGCAAGTTGAGAACCACTGGTATAGAGGTTTAGAACAGGGGATCTAAAGCCAGGTTCTCAAAGCTTCCTGGTTCTGCCACTTCCTAGCTCTGCGACCTTGGGCAAATTGATTAACCTCTCTGTGCCTTAGTTTCCAATCAGTAAAATGCAGATTGTATTAGTACCCATGGAGATTGTTATGATTAAGTGAATTGTAGAACACTTTAAAAAGTACCCAAAACACAGAAACTGCTACTGAAAGATTGCTATTATAAATATTAACAGAGTGCCTGCTCCCTTACTTGACTTGTGTTTTAAACCATTCAAAGCACATATGTATGAAGTACCTCCTTTGTCCCAATATCCTATGTCTGAGGCTGCTTATACATGTGTAATATCATTTTGTAGAAGAGGAAATGGATACAGAGAGAGGTTAGATAATCTGCCTCTGATAATTCATGATAGAAAAATCTAAGGATGCCACTTTTATGTCATGAACTATCAAGTAGTGAGATCTTATAATTTTTTTTTACCATAGCTTGTTCTGTGTGAGTAAACTTTTATAGTCCTAGAAACCCATAACCATTTAATATAATATTTAAGAGTATCTACTTGGTAATCAAAGTCCTAACTCCACTATATAGTAGCTCTGTGACCTAGGACAAGTTGAATTGCCTCTGCTCCAACATATACCCAGTACCTTCACCTTGACAGTGCCGGTCTGGGTTAAGTGAGATAATGTATACAAAAAGGATGGACAGCGTTCTGTATGTGGCAAGCACTCAGTGGGGGTTTTATTAATTTGTAATTGTTACTGCATCTTTAGAAATTGAATGCTTTGAACATTAAATTTCACTGAGCCTCAAATCCTAAAATAATTGATTTTCCTTCATTTTTATCACAGAGACATGCGCTGGAACAAGGGAACCATTTTAAAAGCATCCGTGGACTACATCCGAAAGTTGCAACGAGAACAGCAACGTGCCAAAGAACTTGAAAACCGACAGAAGAAGCTGGAGCATGCCAATCGGCATTTGCTGCTCAGAATACAGGTACGTGACGTGTGTTGTGTGAAGTTCACATGTGATACTGACTTCAAGGTGGAGAAAGAAAAATATAATGAGCCATGAGGGACTGGCTTACACAATCCTAATATAGTTAATCCTTGCACGTATTACTTGTGGATTCTGTGTTTGTGAATTGGCCTAACCTTAAACTCAACATTTGTGGTTCGTTCCTGGTCATCCTCAGATATGTGCTGATTGGCAAAGTTGAGTCGCCCATTGTGCTCATTTCCAGTTGAGTTTGAACAGCTCTGCCTGACGTGGGCGCCTTGCTTTCTTGTTTCAGCTCTCGTATTAGAAACAAGTGTTCTTTCAGGGTCTGTAAGTGTCATGTTTGCTGATTTCAGCAACTGAAAATGACTTAAAATGACTCCCCCAAGCATAGTGCTAAAGTGCTGGCTAGTGTTCCTATGGGCAAGAAGGACCTGGAGTGCCTTACGGAGAAAACACAGGTGTTAAATAAGCTTCATTCAGGTATGAGTTACACAGTGTCCCCCCAAAATGTACACACATTTAAAGAAAGGAAAAAAATGTATTAAAACTGTAACACTTCATATTTCCTGATAGCGTTTATTATCTTATACGTTGTCTCCTGTATCTCTTTTGATTGTAGAAGGCAAATGTGACTTAAGTATTACAATTTTAATACAGTTTATTTTTCCTTTCTTAAAATATGTGTACATTTCTTGGCACCCTTTATAGCACCTGTGGGTATCATTTCAATGTTAATGAATCAACAATGTATCTTCAATAAGGTGATAAGCAGAAACAAGGCTAAGTGTTGGGATCAGAGGCTCTCCGGACCCTAACCTTGGATTTCCCCTGGGAACTTCCATATGCCCTCATCCGGGGCTCATAGTGACTTTGTAGAACATAGCGTAACGAACGTTGGCTGTATGCATTAAATTATTTTTAAAAGCCTTAGTATTTGCAGGGTGGGGGAAGCAGTCAGTGGTTGATAGGGAACTTGGGGACATCCAGAGGATGTTATATAATAAGAATGATATACTTCTCAGAAATAATAATAATGATATAATTCTCAGATAGTAGATTTATACTGCCTGTATCTCAAACTACACACGTTTAGAAGGAGACACACTTTACTGATGTGTGCCATTCCTTTGCCATCCTGTTGATGAGTATATGCAGCAGTCAGCAGGGTAAGCAGGAGATGGGGTCCCCCTCAGTGTCAGCTCCTGGTACCTCATAAGGAGCTCAGCTTTTCATGCTGAGTGCAAGGACACAACTTCCCCTGAAATTGACCTCAAAAACTGACTCTTTTTTGAACAAAGGGTTTGCAAGGGTAATTTTAGCTTACTTGCTGACTTTGAATGCCACCTATCTGTAAGAGTCAGCGTCACTGCACCTTCTTGAGTAGATGGGACAACACGCAGAGATCACTGTGTTTCACCCCGTGGTGTCTGTCCGGGACGTTGAACAGTTTGAGCAGAGCAGTTCCTTTATAATAATATTCTTCATTCTTCTGAATACTCCGCAGCACTTAGATTTCCACATCTCTTCTCTCACTCACTACAGTGATCCCAGCCATGGGACAGGGGGGCAGAAGGTGACCCTTCTCTAGAATTGCCTTTTAGAATTTGGGTAGTGAAGTAGAGGTCGTATGTAATTGAACATCCTCCTGTCCCTTCCCCCTCATCCTCTTTGTATTTTGTTGTTTTATGTTCTGTCTCTTCAATAAGTGTTCATAGATATTTAATCTCTTGATCTTAGTATATTCATTTATACGAGCAGCTTATACTAATGTGTCATTTTCTTATACAAGTATTAACTATTTTGAAAAAGAAGCTAGGTTTTGTTTTATTTTAGGGTTCCAAACATGTATATTCATGTGAAATCCGAATATTGTGAAATATATGCATTGGAAATTCCATGGTGACAATATCTTGGTTTTCTTCCAGTGCTGGTGTAAGGCAGCCCTTAGAACTTTTGCGTATCATAGAAAACATTATTAATTAGGAAAGCTCTGTGGTGCAGTGAAGCTAGAGTTCTCCAGATGAGATGTATCACCTTTTTTAGAAATTTAAGTGATACTCTAATCAGCTGATAAACATTTTAAATTAAGCAACAAAGGACAGAGTAAGATGTTTGCCTGTCTTACTCCAATGTTATCATTATGTCTTAAATGACTGACTGCGGGTGTGCAGGGGCTGTTCTTATCAGCACGTTGGTGTAGACTGACAGGTGCCCATGTTTTCAGCTTGGGCCTAAGGGCTTCTTTTCATTTTCGCTCTAAGTGATGCATGCAGAAATGTTCAAGGAAGAAAGAGCATGAAGTCTTAATATCAGTTGAACTGCCATTTTGTTAAACAGCCCAGGGCTTTAAACTGATGCCTGAAGAGACTCGTATTTCTGGAGATTGTGTAAAGAAACTTGCAGATACTTGTGTGACCTCTCAAACTTTTAGCTCTTCCTTGGACTACACACAAAGCAAAATCTTTCAGAAGCAGCAGCCTTTAATATAGACCAAACATGACTTTTCAGGCATATTTATTCCTAGGCTTTTGGGCAAAAGTTGAAAGGCCACATCATGTGGAGAGTACCTCCCCTGTCTGACAAGACAAGGGGACTTGCTTCAAATGTATGTCTCAGTATCACGTCTCATCATATCCAAGCATGGAAAGGATGACATTGGAAGGCAGAAGTAGAACACTTACCAGGGGCCATCTGGGAATCTCTGTGGTTCATTTTAGGAATGGCCAGGGGAGAGAGCTTTCTTGAAAGGCTTTTTGAAATAAGGTACCAGAGGAAGTCACCGGGATTTAGGAAGTTTACTAACTCATGCTGTTGTAGCAAAGTACTACCACCTGGCTGGTTTAAACAGCAGGAAGTTATTTTCTCACAATTCTGGAGCCAGTGTACCCAGGTCAAGATACCAGCAGCCTCTCTCCTTGGCTTAGAGAGAGCCAGCCTCTCCCTATACCTCCACAAGGTCTTCCCTTTCTGTGTGCCTGTGTCTCAATCTCCTTTTCTTAGAAGGACCCCAGTCCTCTCAAAGGGGGCCCACCCATCTGACCAGATTTTACCTTAGTAACCTCTCTAAAGGCCTTTCTCCAAATACCATCACATTCCAAGTTCCTGGGGGTTAAGTCTTCAATGTATAAATTTTTGTGGGAACACAATTCAACCCGTAATGGGAAGGTATGTGAAAAAAGTAAAGGAAGAAATTATTCATCTTATAGATGAGAACTTACTTGTTGAATTAAAAAAAATAATAATTTCCTTTTGTCCTGGTGAGATGGCTAAATGGTGCCTCTAAAACTTTAGCGACTTTTTAGGACCTTGACAGCTTTTGCCATCACTATCCAAACTTGTTAAACTCATGGTGCCCTTAGTGACTTCGCAGCCTCTTCCCTGCATCCATGGATTAGAAGAAATACCTGTCATTTTTTGTTAGACGCAAACAACTAGGTTCTAACAATGTAGTAGCCATTTGAAAAAAAAAAAATAGAATATATAAATTGAAAGAAATATATCATTACTTACAAACAAGACGTGTGTGTCTGTTGAGTAGCACGCAATTCCTAAAGCCTCTATCGTCCTGGGTACCACCACACTTACTTCCCATTCCACAATGATGCTCGTATGGTACTTTTTTTTTTTTAATCTCAGCAACTGCAAAAGCCTAACTTTGCAATGATAGGATGTGATCATCAAAAAGTATGTAGAACAATCTAATGCTGAAATTGACTTTAGTAGTCTTCGAGGCAGTATCGCTGTCTTTCCCGTGAAATTTTAAAACATCCCTCATGCCCTGTGAATTCATCGCAGCATCCCTGGGAACTCCAGTTCACAATTCAGTGAGCATGAAACTGTATTACTATTTATTTAATATTTTCCTTTTATCAGCTCATATTTAAAAATTTTATTTTTATATTTTTAAGCTTATCCTCATTATGAATATGAATATCTGAGAGAGAGAGACTATCTCTATTTTTAATACATAGTACAATCCACAAAACACCTAAAAATTCATTTCTGTACCAGTGGCACCTCTACGATCCTTTAGGAAATACAGTTTATTAATTTAAAAGAGCAAAATGCTTTTATTTTGGGAATTTGCTGTCTTCTCTCTTAGTGTCTGATTTTCTTTAATAGACTACTTTTTAGAGCAGTTGTGTGTTCATAGTAAAATTGAGGGGAAGCTACAGATATCTCTCCATGGACCTCCTGTCTCCACCTATGCAGCTCCCCCAGTACCAAAATCCGTCCCCGCCAGAGTGGTACATTCGTCACACTCGGTGAACTCAGTGTTGACATTTTATCATCCTCCAAAATCCACAGTTACATTGTACATTTTATGGGTCTGGGCCAGAGTATAATGCCCTCCCTCCACCGCGGTGGGATCGTGCGCACTGGCTGTGCAGTACCCAGCAGGCACACGTGACCTGTTCGTAAGTAATGCTGTATTTCTTTACGTTTGCACTGTCATCAAAATCCTCTGTGCTCTGCCAATTTCAGCGTCTGATTTTTACTTTTATTACAGGAACTCGAAATGCAGGCTCGCGCCCACGGACTTTCCCTTATTCCGTCCACGGGTCTCTGCTCTCCAGATTTGGTGAATCGGATCATCAAGCAAGAGCCGGTTCTGGAGAACTGCAACCAAGACCTCCTTCAGCATCACGCAGACCTGACGTGCACGACCACTCTTGATCTCACGGATGGCACCATCACCTTCAACAACAGCCTCGGGCCCGGGACCGAGGGCAGCCAGGCCTACGGCGTCCCCACGAAAATGGGATCCAAACTGGAAGACATCCTGATGGACGATACGCTGTCTCCGGTTGGCGTAACTGACCCTCTCCTTTCGTCAGTGTCCCCCGGAGCTTCCAAAACCAGCAGCCGGAGGAGCAGCATGAGCATGGAAGAGGCCGAGCACCCCTGTTAGCACCGCCCGCTCGCGCCGCGGACTGCTGCCTCTCTTGATTAGTGGATTTCACAATTTACCTGGAAGGGGTTTTCTTGATAATTTTACTTTAATATGAAAAAATTTTTTTTCATGCTTTATCCATAGCCCAAGATATATTTTATTTTTAGAATTTTGTGAAACAGACTTGTATATTCTATTTTACAACTACAATTGCCTCCAAAGTATTGTACAGCGAGTGTGCAGTATCTGTGAACTGAATCCACTGCAGACTTCAGTTTTCTGAGCAAGAGGATTTTGCATCAGAGAAATGTCTGTCCATTTTTATTCAGGGGAAACTTGATTTGAGATTTTTATGCCTGTGACTTCCTTGGAAATGAAATGTAATGTTTAATTGAAAGAATGTAAAAAGCAACCAAAAAAAAAAAAAAAAAAAAGAAAGAAAGAAAGAAAAGAAAAAAAGCAAGAGGAAGAAAAATCTAGTTTGCCATTACTCAACATATATACATGCACACATGCCTCTATTTGCTTATAGTTACCAAAATGATATGAATGAGT